AGGACGAGCATCTTGCAGTCGGGGTCGGCCTCGTACCGAAGCATATGGTCAATGAACGTGGTGCCAGGGTAACGGTCACTGCCGACGGCGATACCCTCATAGGTGCCGTTAGTGACGAGAGAGAGGATGTTGTTCAGCTCGTTGGACATGCCTCCGGAATTGGAGATATAGCCGACCGAGCTCGGACATGTTTGTCAACTGCACCCCAGCTCGTCCTGCGCTCGACTCCTCACAGACTCGATGATATTTTGTGAAAATTGCGATTAAGTCTTTATCTTCTTCCAATCGCTGGATTCGCGATACAAGCGAGATAGCCTCAATTGCGGTCAGAGTAACGGGAGGAAGATAGCGAATCCTTCGACATTTGTAACATCAGGTTGGTCCGTTCAATGAAGGAAGAGGTCTTGTCGTGCAGGCTTCAGTGCAGGCAAAGGAGGAAACACTCCGCTGGGATCGACAGTCGAAAGACATATTCTCCGAAGGAGCAGGAGGGGGATCGCGTTTGGTATGAAGAACGATGAACAGTCGCGCTATCGCCTCAAAGACTCGAGCGCCGTCTATTCGCGTGCGTGTCTTGGGTATTGCGTCGTCGTCGTCGATGGTCAACTAGCTGAGATCCCCAGTTCGGTATGTGCAATGTACTCCCCGTTCCAAGTGATATGTACGAGTAAAATGAGAGGCAACACGAGAGTAGGAGGAGGAGGAGATGAGATGGGCCAATCGTTGGGTCAACAAGGGCAGTGGTGGCGGATACTTCAACATGGAAGGTGCGGATACATTAAAAATCCCTGAACGGGGTGTTCGGGGTCTCTTTGCCACGCAATAAAATGAAATGCATTACCAAATGGATATCAAACGACAATGAGTAAGGCAGTGTATCGATGTCGACATCGATATCTCTGGTGGAGGCGGCGATTATGTGGCAAATCCTCCTGCTTAAGACGACGACGACGAACGGGGCCATCGACCTTCTCTAGCTCTCCTTGGCCTCAGCTCCTCTCCCTCAATCAACCACCGAATACGCCTATCGCCATTGCCCTGGTCTATCGCCTCCCACTGGTCTGTATACCTCGAAATCACGTCCACGACTTTGAGGATTTCCAGCTTGCGCGTCTTGGTTTTCCAGCCGGTTGAGTTGGCTCCAACCTGCCGGACCTCGGCAACCACCTCACAACCCCCTTGCATGTCCACTCACTGCGTACCGGCCCAAGTATAGCGTGCCCTGGGCACGTTGTTTGCTGGTGGGTGGTCACCGGGGTGTTGGGTGTTCGTGGACCGGGCCACCTGGCTCCCTTCTCCCTCTCTCATGGGAGCGTTCCGAAGCACCTCCCTCTCCGGCAACCCATACTTCTCCCTCTTCTCCTCATGCCTCTGTTCCCAATTTCCGTGGTTCTTCGGGTTTCCTAGCTTTGGACAAGAAACTGCATTGGTGATCTGGTCGATCTTCTGATGCCTGTCCCGCGAGTCTTTCCTCCAGAATGGGTAATCACACAACTGGCACGGGAAGCCCGGCGCGAACACCCCTCCGAAGACCAGAGAATTCTGGTCGAATCCTTCCCCTCCAAGCCTCAGCATTGCTCGTTCCTCCTTGAGGTGCCCTCCCAGGTGTCGTTGCAAGACGTCTCTTGAGGAAAACAAGACGTGGCATCGCTGCCGAGGGTCGTCAGGGCTGGGATAGGGGCACGCAAACCCGGTCTGAATGCTTGGCAAGTCCGTATACTCGAGCTGCTTGGGCTTGGACTTGGGCTTGCCCTTGACCTTACCCTCCTTCCTCCTCTGACAGGACGTGGTAGCAGCGTTGAGAGACCGGAGCTCGGATGCAGGAGGATCTCGAGGTTGTGCTGGCCCTGCATCGTCGTCGTCTCTTGTCAAATCGATCACCTCATGCACTCGGTGATTGTAAGCAGCCACTGGCGCTGTAACTGGAGGAGGGTAGAATGCGTTCGAGCTGGACGGCCGTTGATTCCAGCTGGATGACTTTTGCTGGGTGGTGTAACGCCGTGAGGACTCAGGCACAGGATGGAGCTCAGGCAAGGGAGGGAGCACATATCGATCATTGGTAGCGCGAGGACCGAGGAAACCCATCGGACGCGAAGGGATTGGAGGGGGAAGACGTCGATCTTCCTTGAGAAAGCGTGGAACACCTCCGATTCTACTCTCGCCGTCAAATGGTGGCTGGGCTGGGTAAGGATGGTTGGTCGGATTAAAGTTCGATGGACCGCCTTGCCGCCACCAATTTTCCAACCTGCTAACAGGCTCTTGACTGGTGTATGGTGGCAGGGGATCGTGCGTTATCCTGTCGATGCCTGGAAAGACCATAGGGTTAAGGAGATGTCCGGAGGGAAGAGTGGTGTGCTGCTGTCCTGGATGGGATGGAGCATTGGTGGCACTATGACCAGCATGCGCGGTCGTGGAGTGCAAATCAAATTTTGTATTCTTTGGCTGTGGGTGGGGTTCAGCAGTCCAGAAGTGCGTGCCGTATTCCGTGTTGTGGAGACTGTCGTACTGTCGGATGAACTGGCAGGAGGGAGCTCCGGGCCTAGCACCCTCTTGCACGTCCGTCTGTCCAACCGTGCTCTGAAGCGAATCGTATCCGGAGACTTCCCGGGAGAAGAGAGGTTCGCGCCTCGAACGGTCGTCCATGACCGTCTGAGCGCCATAGGACATACTGGGGAGGATGACATTGTGTGGAAAGGGCCGGCGCGTGGGATTCTCGCGCATGGCGCGCTCGTGCACGGCTGAGAATGAGCGTTGGGGGGGATGGTCGTGTGTACTCCGGTCATCGATCGCACCCCGAGGTGGGGTATCATGGTGCCGGAAGGGACGACGGGCAGGGGGTGCCGCATCCTCACCGTTCGCAGGAGAGCGATCTCTTCTCTTCAACATTCTTGATTGTAGGTAGATGTAGAGTCTATGTTTGTGAGTTGAACGCAGATGTAGGATGGTCGACGACGGAAGGGGAGTGAAGATACGATGTGTAGACTAGCAGTTCTTGAAAGGAAAGGCGATGATCTGCGGATTGGGTTGCCGCTCTTCCGCATGTCACGTTGTGCGGTCCAGAACGGGAACAGTCATCAGCGGCAGGGGCTAGACAAAATGAGTGGCAAGGTGAGGTTCAGGGGGTTCGGCACTTCAAGTTGACTATATTAATCTCAGCCGAAGAATCCAATGGAAGGATTAGGGAGGACAGATACATATGCCGTGGACCGAGGTGAGTGCCAGGCATGGACTTCTGCGAAGAGCGGGATCAGAGAACCCACTGGTCGCTTCACAGGCCAGCATCTTATGCCACATCTTCACGAATACTCGTGAATTTGGGTCCAATCCCAAACCAAAAAAATATTACGCTGTTTCTATAGTCAATGATTGGTGGCCTGAAGCCAGTACTTTGTGCTCCAAAACAGTTCAGCAACCGCCTTGTTTGATCATATAAAGGGTCTAACTCGGTACTACACCCACTCTCTATTTAAAGCGTCAACATTTAGACGTTTTTACTCATGGATGCAACGTGGTGACAGCAACGGTTTGCGGCAAGCCGTTGCCAAGAACCCCCCCTTTCCCCGGTTCGCCGGGACCACCGTCTTGCGAGTGGTGAAAGGTACTAGTAAATGACAAATGCTCGCTTTCACGAGATGATCTCTTTTTTTCGACTCAATAATCTAAAAGAAGCAAACCCCTTATTCGCAAAGTCCATTCTCCGAAGGTCATGTGCGCCGTGCGCCGTTTCAAAGACTCCTGAAGGGTTTTTGCTTCTCTTCGGCAAAGGGTTCGAGGTGCATCGTTGCTCACAGAATCAATTTCGTTCCGCTCCGAATCATCACACACACAGCCTCGCCTTGTTTAGGGTTTTAACTGTGGCGCTCATAGATGCAAGGAGTAATGTATATAATGAACTGAGTACGATATTTAATAAAACTGCAGGCCATGCTGTCATACACTTCGCCTTCACCAGTGCATCCATCACCACGCTCATGGTGTTGATGATGGTATTGACCGGTTGGGATCTGCGGTGAACGGGTTGAGGAAACGCCGCCCACCAGACGGGCTGGGACGGCGTACTAGTGCGAGAAGGGAAATTGCCTCCGGGAAGCGCGTTCCAGGGTCCTGAACGCGCGTCTGGCGTCTTCGCAATGCATATGTCACCTCCCTCTCGAGATCATGAACTGAACATGCTCAACATTCCTCTCACCAAATCTTAGCCACCGAGACGGACAACAAGATGGCAGCTTCAGCAGTGGATCCAAAGCCTATCCACAGGCTTGAGGAGTCACTGATCAACCGCATCGCTGCTGGCGAGGTATGTGTCGCGCAACATCGATTTGTACTAATGTCTAATGTATGCACAGATCATCCACAGACCTGCGAACGCTTTGAAAGAGCTACTCGAGAATGCTCTCGAT